GCAATTTCCTTTATTACAGGGCCCTTGGATAAGTTCAAGGTATCAGGCAGACTGATATGGTTATGTCAAATGGTAATCATGTTTAATTAATTTATTGGAGTTCTTCAAAGAAATAACTTCTGCAATGGATAAATAGGAACCAGTGGATGTAATGCCTTTTGATTTCCCAATGTATTTGATAAGTTGTCACATCAACAGCTATTTCAGAAAGTAAAAGTCTGTGTTGTTGGGGGTAACATATTTGCATGGATAGAAAATTGGCTGGCTCACACTGAACATGGGGTAGGAATAAATGGGTCTTTTTCAGGCTGGCGGGATATGATGAGTGGTGTACCACACAGGTCAGAGCTGGGGCCTCAACTCTTAGAATTTATGTCAATGATTTGGATTAAGGAACCAAAGGTATGGTAGCTGAATTTGCTAATGATACAAAAATGGTTAGGAAAATGAGTTGCAAAGAGGACATAAAAGCTCTACAAACAAATATAGATAAGTTAAGCTCAAGGCAAAGATCTGGCAAATAGAGTATAATGTGTAAAATTATTCATTTTGACAGAGAGAATAAAAAAGCATATTATCTAAATGGTGAGAGGTTACAGGGCTCTGAAATGCAAAGAAATCTGGGTGTCCAAGTGCATCAATTGCAGAAGGTTCAGCAAGTAATCAGAAAACTAAGGTGATGCCCAGAGGGACTGGACTTTAGCAAAGGCTAAACAGGTTGGGACTCTAGTCACTGGAGTTTACGAAAATGAGAAGTGATCTCAGTGAAACATAGAGGATTCTTAAGGGGTTTGACAGGGTAAATGCTGAGAGGATGTCTCCCCTCATGGGAGAGTCTAGGACTCAGAGTAAAGGGGTACCAATTTAAGTGATGAGACGGGGAGGAATTTCTTCTCTCAAGAGAGGATCATTTTTGGAGAGCTGTGGGGGCAGAGTCTTTGTATATATTTAACGGTGAAACAGATAGATTCTTGGGTCAAGGAATCAAGGGTTAGGAGGAAAGGGCAGGAAGGTGGACTTGAGGAATGTTGGATCAGCCATGATCGTATTGATAGCAGAGCAGGCTCGAGGGCTGAATGGCTCCTCCAGTTCCTATTTCTTATAGAAATCTAATAGAATATTATAGTTTATTGCAAGGCAAATTGAATGCAAGAATAAGAAGGTTATGCTTCAGTTATACAGGGCTTTGGTGAAACTGTGGAATACTGCGTACACACTGGTCACTGGACTTACAGAGGGATGTTAATGTATTGGAAGCAGTTCAGACAAGGTTTACTGGACTAATACCTGGAATGAGTGATTGCCTTATGAGGAAAAGATAGACAGGATAAGCCTGTATCTTCTGAAGTTTAGAAGAGTCAGACATGATTGAATTGAAAAATTGTAAGATCCTGAGGGGACGTGAACAGGTGAATGTTGAAAGGATGCTCCCTCCAATGGGAGAATCTAGGACTGGGGGTATCCATTTAAAAATGATGGGGGGGACATTTAAATAGAGAAGAGGAAACATATTTTTCCCCGAGGCTGAGAATCTTTGGAATTTACTTCCTCAAAAGGCAGGGATGTAGAATCTTAAATTGTTTTAAAGCAAAGATAGATAGATTATTTCTTTATCAAGACGATGAAAGATTATCTGAGATAACAAGGTGTAGAGCTGGATGAACACAGCAGGCCAAGCAGCATCAGAGGAGCAGGAAGGCTGACATTTCGGGCCTAGACCCTTCTTCAGAAATGGGGGAGGGGAAGGGGGTTCTGAAATAAATAGGGAGAGAGGGGGAGGCGGATAGAAGATGGATAGAGGAGAAGATAGGTGGAGAGGACAAAGAGGAGGGGATGGAGCCAGTAAAGGTGAGTGTAGTGGGGGAGGTAGGGAGGAGATAGGTCAGTCCAGGGAGGACGGACAGGTCAAGGGGGCGGGATGAGGTTAGTAGGTAGAAGATGGGGATGGGGCTTGAGGTGGGAGGAGGGGATAGGTGGGAGGAAGGACAGGTTAGGGAGGCGGGGATGAGCTGGGCTGGTTTTGGGATGCGTTAGGGGGAGGGAAGATTTTGAAGCTCCGACCGACCGGTCTGTCTCCTCTCCACCTATCTTCTCATCTATCCATCTTCTATCCACCTCCCCCTCTCTCCCTATTTATTTCAGAACCCACTTCCCCTCCCCCATTTCTGAAGAACGGTCTGGGCCCGAAACATCAGCCTTCCTGCTCCTCTGATGCTGCTTGGCCTGCTGTGTTCATCCAGCTCTACACCTTGTTATCTCAGATTCTCCAGCATCTGCAGTTCCTACTATCAATGAAAGATTATCAGTGGATATGCAGAGTCAGTGGTTAAAATAAGATCAGCCATGGTCACCCATTTAAAACAGAGATGAGGAGGATTTTTTTTATCTTTTAGAAGGTAGTGAATCTGTAGAATTCTTTAGCACAGAGGGCTATTGAGACTGGGTTGTTAAGCGTATTCAAGGCTGAGACAGACAGATTTTTAATCAGTGGGGGAATCAATTGTTATGGGAAAAGGCGGAAAGTGCAGCTGAGTATTATCAAATGAGCCATGGCCTTATTGAATATTGGTGCAAATTCAATGTGAAGAATGGCCTACTTCTGTTCTCATGGTCTTAGGTACTATCAAATAGGAATACGAGGTGCACAGAATATTGGGAGAAATTGAAAGCACGAGAGGTGGGAATAGTAAATTATTTGTTAAGCTAAAAGGAAGGGAGAATGTAATAAAGCTTAAACTAAGGTTATTGTCCAAAGTAATAATGTAAATGTGTGGAGAATGGCAATTAATTCTGATGAGTTGCTCATGTAGATTGCCACATAGAAGTGTGTAGTATCTAGAACAGGGACCAAGCTCAGAGGTGCAGGACTGGGTTTTAACTATTTTGGATAAAGGCACTCAGGAAACATAAGAAAGGATGAATTTGTGATGACGATAATGATTAAGAAGAACGTGGCTGCGCGAGAGGAAAAAGCTCTCTCGGAGGAGTCAAGTTCAGATTGTTTCAGAGATAGTAGGAACTGCAGATGCTGGAGAATCTGAGATAACAAGGTGTAGAGCTGGATGAACACAGCAGGCCAAGCAGCATCAGAGGAGCAGGAAAGCTGACG